CACGGCAGTATCGTTAAATATAGTTTTTTTTTTGGTAGTCCTGCTTCTGTTTACTAAGATTATAATATACAACAAACAAAAAATAAAATAATAAAAGAAAGAATTAAAGGTAGAAGAAAGCGAAATATCAAATACTGTAATAAAAAAAAATTAATTTAAATAAAAAAAGTAAAGAGAAACGATAATAATTTAAAAAAAAAAATTAACAAATAAAAAAAAACTGGAATAAAATAAAATAAATTAATTTAATAAGTTAATTTAAAAAAGGGTGCTTTTAGGCATCTCTCACGAGAGATACATCTCCTGCAGGGAGATATATATTCCAACCAATCAAAAACTGCAAATATCATGTGACATGATCCCGAAGTACTAGACATATTTGTACTATTCAGACCTTTATTTTACCGATCAACTTCAGACAAAAAAAAACCAAAAAAATACTTCATCCTAGTATCATACTACGTATTTAATTTTTTTACATCCCGCATGGCTAATTTATTTTAATTTGTCATATTTACGTCATACAGTATTTAATTAAACGTCATCGCATAACGATTATAAATTTTATTAAAAAAAAAAAAAAAAAAAAAACGCACAACATCAACAAAACCCAAAACCAAGAATATCGTCACACCAAAGACAACATTAACAACAGCGACTTCACTAATACTTGTTGCTGATTTCACATCACAAAGTATGCAATGAATATCGACAAACCCCAAAAACCAACGAACATCGTCACACCGATGATAACATCAACAACAGCGACTTCACCAAAACCTGGTGCCGATTCTACATCACAAAGAACTTAAAAAACCTAAACAAGCCAAAGAAGAGAAAAAACATTTAGCGAACACGGGAATATAACAAAGAAAGAAAAAAAAAAAAAAAATACTTACCAAGAGCGCTGATTCCAGTCTGACAAAATCTAAACAAGTCAAAGAAGAAAAAAGAATAGTTAGTAAATATTCAAAAAAAAAATAAAGAAAAAAAAGGAAAACTAACTACTCACCAAAAGCTATGTCCACGCAATTCCCAGATCCAACAAAGACAAGACAAGCCCCGTATGAAAAAAAAATGTCTAAAAAATTGAAAAAAGATTAGTAAAAAACTAAAAACATCAAAACCAAATCTACAGTGAAAAAACGCACATAACCACTTATAAGAATGCTAGAAAAGAATGCAAAGCCATTCCACAAAAACGCTGGAGAAACACATAAGTTTACAAGAATGCCAGAGAAATCCTACAAAAAAGTTGGGATGCATGCAAGACCACCCACAGGAACATTCTGCAAGACCACCCCACAAGTCACTAGTAACGCAAAATCAATTCACGAAATCTAATAGCAGCACCAAACCAACGACGACAACAAACCAGTGATGACAACGACACCAACGATGACACCAGCGACAACAAGACACCAGCGACTACAAGGCACCAGCGATGACAAGACACCAATGACACCAACGGCGAAAAGCGGCAAGCTAAAAAAAAAATAAATAACAAGCGAAAAAAAAATTAATAACAAACGAAAAAAAAAACCAAAATACGGTAATAAAAAAAAACAATGATTATCAATCTTTGATAATCATTGTTTATATAGAGGGGTGCGAGATGAACTGAACCGACCTCCTGATCCGGCATCGGTATGCCGGGTGGAAGATGTATCTCTTGTGAGAGATATATCTTCTACGAGAGATGCCTATAATTTCCCTTTAAAAAAAGTTGATTTTAAAAAAAAACATTAATTTAAAAGTTAAATTTTAAAAAAAGTTAATTTTTTAAAAAAAA